TTACCAAGCTGGCTGGACACCTGTCTCCACACCCTCTTATGAGGGGCAAGAGCAAACACAGCCAGAACTCCCCGTCTCTGCTGTCTATCTAATCAGGGATGACACTTGGAAACACTTTCATGGTCGCACACCACTCTGAGCACTGTGTGAGCAAAATTCATCTGACCTTTCCAGTCCCATTTAGAGAAAACTGAGTGATAAAACAGAACTAGGTTCTGGCAGGGGCAAACTGGACTCAGGGAGGCTGGCTTCCTGTGCGCTGGGGACACAGTTGACTTCGGGCGTGTCTCAGATCTCACAACAGGAGAGAGCACGGCACGGGGAAGCAGAGGCAGGAAGGGTCAGAAGTTCAAGGTCACCCTCACTTGCTTGACAAGCCAACCTCGGATCTGCTGAGACCCCCACCTCAAAAAAATAAAACAAGCTCCAGGGTAAAGTGCCCCCTGCAAAAGTTTAGCAACCTATTAAAAAAAAAGCACTATGTAAAAAGCCAGAGGCAGGAGTGTGAGAGGACCAGCCCAGAGCACAGGCGAGGGTGGAGACAGGCAGACACCAGGGGCCCGATGGCCAAACGGCCAGCTCCAGGTTCAGTCAGACCATGTCTCACATATATAAGGTGGAAAGCAATAGAGGGAGATACCCAAGGTTTACCTCTGGCCTCAGGAAGCCACACACAGTCAAGCACAAGTGCACTTACACACGCGTGCGCACACACACCACACACAAAAAAGAAAAAAAAAAAAAAGCTACACCACCTTGCGGGTCACACTTGGAGGTCAATGACCTAGGGAAAAGTGCTGTGCGCTTGGAGGACAGCAAGCAGATTAGCACAAGAACACGATGGGATTAATGACGGAGAAAACTCCTAGACAGCTAGAAGCATTGTTATTTTTCTTTAAACCTACGTGTGTGTATCTGAGCGTGCGTATGCCACATGTGTGCGCCCCACCAGAAGCATGCTGGATCCCCGGCAGTGGTGAACAGTGGGTGCTGGGGACCAAACTCAGGTCCTCTGGAAGAAAAGCTACCACAAGCCCTAACCATTGAGCCATCTCTCCATCCCCCTTTACCTTGAGTGGGTCATGGTCTACTGAGTGCACACTTAACAGCCCTCACTAAACTACAAAGGAGGCTAAAAATACTCCAAAACCAGTACACGAAAGGCAAGCAGGGGAGTCAGCTTTCTCACTGCTGGAATGGATGAGCTACGGAAGACCAGAGTGGTCCAGACGCTCACGGAAAGAAGCTGGGAGCTGGTGAGTGGGCTCAGTGGGTAGTCACTTGCTGTCAAAACTGGGGCTCTGAGTTTGGACCCAGAGTCCTACACAACTCCAGCAAGCTGGTCTCTGCCCTACCTCCACATGTGTATAGCAGTACATGTATGTGGATGTACATATGCACACAAGTATTCAAAATGTTATTGGAGACAGACCCATGAACTCGTGTCTGACCGCCATGGACACAGAAAGGCGTGGGCACACATGCGCCAGACAGAGGTAGTAACACCCATGCAATCTGCTTCTCTGTTAACACAGAGAACCCGAGAGCACGTACCCCAGCGTGGATGAGCATCCCAGCACAGCTGGATCCTGGTTTCTAATACCACTGACCCAGAAAGGGCCTGAAGCAGAACACAAACATCAGAAAGAGAGCCCATGATGATAACGGCTGTCCTAGGGATCCCCACGACCAACACAAAGCACTCCGGGCCGTCCAACAGAAGCAATGCGTACCAAGTAGTGGTGCATGACCAAGAGTACAAAACTGATCTCTGGGTCCATGATAATATCAAGGAACAAAGAAACACATAGGAGAGACACAGCTCAGAAGTTAAGAGCATTGGTTCTTCCAGAGGCCCTGGGTTTAATTCCTAGCACCCACATGGCTCACAACCACCTATATATGTAACTCCAGTTCCAGGGGAGCCAATTCCCTCTTCTGGCCCCTGTGGGCACCAGGCATATATGCACACAAACACCAATACACATAATTTTTTAAAAAATAAGCCTATTTTTTTGGGAGTTCGAGGCCAGCCTGGTCTAGAAGAGCTAGTTCCAGGACAGGAACCAAAGCCTTTGAGAAACCTGTCTCGAAAATCCAAAAAAAAAAAAAAAACTATTTTTAAAACAAGATCGATGACATAGGGGAATGGTATCTCTATTGTGCAGAGTTCTAATATAGTCACTGTGCTCATGGAGACGGACGAGGGACACACTTTCCTGCTCCTGGGATGTAGCTCAGTAATTTCCTTCCAAAGACTGAAGTGTGGCTCAGCATTAACAAGTCCCAGGTTCCACTCCCAATACCACATAAACCCCACATGGCAGCACACGCCTGTAACCCCAGCACTTATCACCCTGGACTGCACAGCAAGTTTAAGGCCAGTGTGAACTACATGAGTCTCTGTCAAAAAAAAAAAAAATTCTTTTAGGAGTACAATTTGGAAAATGTCAAGGTCATCAAAAATAAAGGTCTGAGAAAAGGTTACTAAGGAGACGGTGCTATGTAGTGGCACAGTCGCATTCTGGAATAGAAACGGGGCCTTCCCGGGACAGCCAGGAACTCTGAACGCAGTGTGGGCTTTAGCAGATGAATTCAGAATATCCAGATATGGGGAAGAGGGGTAAAGTCGGGTGGGAGCCGTGCTACCTCCATGAGTTTTCTTTTGAAAAATCTAAAACTCTTAAAATTTTAAAAACAGAACTCAAAAATGGCAGCTGACTTCTTCAGAACCAGCAGCCACCAAAAGCCTTTCTGGCAACATCTGAGAAGATTCTGTGTGATAAGAAGCAGGCTACCAGGACCCAGGGCAGCATGTTCCAGACAGACAGAGACACAAACTCCCAGGACAAACAGAAGGACATGGGGAGGAAAATCGGGAAAGTTGGGGACGGGTGCTGCAGGAGCAAAGGAGGCGAAAGGGGAGGGTCACGGTGACTTCAGACAGTAAGGGGGTTAGGAGGTCAGTAGAGGGATCACAAGCTCTGGAGGATAAGCAGGAGTGAGTGCCTGTGCACACGCATGCGCAGGCATGGAGGTCAGAGGTCAACTTCAGGTGTTACTCCTCAGGAGCTGTCCACCCACTGTGTTTCTCTGAAGAGGGTCTCACATGTAGATAGGATTTTTACCAGTGCTAGAGACTGACTCAGACCTTCAGCGAGCACTTTACCAGCTGAGCCATCTTCTCAGCCCTATAGGTGCTTCCTAGGAATGGTCCTCACTGCCCTGGGAAAGGCAGGAGGACACGGGTCATCCAGAGCTGGCAAGCAACAGAGAGGGGGATAGCATTTAGTTATAAACTAGGGACCTCTTGTTGTATAATGACAGAAAATGTCTCCACAGTGGGCACGGCAGGCCCCTGGTGGACTTTGCCAAGTTGGGGGGGCCACGACTGTGAACCTTCTGGAGGGGGTTTTACTCTGCCTACCAAGGAGTCCATGAAATAGACAGCCTCAACACAGCCTACACTACACTACCGACTTACCACCCATTAGAGACTCGATCTCGTAACCCGCAGGGTTACACCTCCCTCCCACCTCAGAAGGGGACTGGACAGGCTCAGCACAAGAAGGTCCATGATGTCCCACAAGCTCCAGACTCACCATGTCATAGACAGCCCTAGGCGGGAGGAGCGTGAGAGGTAAAGTAGCTCATACCTGGGCTTACAGTAACAAAAGGAGCCAGGCATGAGTGATGGTGCACACCTTTAACCCCAGCACTCAGAAGGCAGAGGCAGGTGGATTTCTGTGAGTCCAGAGCCAACAGGGTCTACAGAGCATATTCTAGGCCAGTCAGGGCTATAGTGAGACCCTGACTCTAAAAAGAAAAGAAAAGGGAGGGACAAGACAAAGATGAAACCCAACCCCACCCAGCCCCTCTCTAGACGGTTCCTCATCCTCTCTATTCCATCACCTGCCTCATCGGCCAAATCCCAACAGCGGGACTCCAAGGGGCTTCTCAGTCATGGTCAACTGCCCCCAAAGGCTTTGGTAGAAGGACCCCCCTGCTCCAGCTCTCTGGGCTCCTTGCCACCAGGAGCAATGAAATTCAGATGGCCTGCACATTCTGGGACAATGGTGATAAGGGACAGGGCAGTGAGCCTGCCTCCTTCTCCCTGCCCCCCAGCCAGCTCTCGGTGACCACCTGACCCTTAGCTTGACCCAAATAATAAGGCTGTCTGGTTTTGGGGGGGGGGGTTAGCCCTGAAATGTTCTTTTCTTCCAGGTGCCTTTAGGAAGTCACATTTTATGACATCCTGGAAGGATCTGCACCAACCCTTCCTGCCAACCCGCCCTGCAGCCCCTCCCACCTCCCAGAGAGAGCAGTGAGCTGCAGCACAGGAACAAAACAATGCAGTGGTTGGGCTCTTCCAGCAAACAGTGTTCCAGTGAGCACCCAGAGTGCAAACAAATGCTCCCTTTGGGGTGCCCCACAAACTCTCCCACCAAGCAGCAAGGCGGACCCTGTCCACCGCAGGCTCCCAGCAAACAGAGTAAACAGCAAAGCAGACACCACAGTTTGCTCTGAGTGCAGGCCCTGGCGTCCTCACTCCCTTGTTAAGGCTAACCAAGACCACCATTTTCCAATGAAGACGGCCAGCTCCATCCCACTCCGGGGATTGCCCAGAGGCCCGCTGTTAAAATCACAAAGTCTGCCACAGCTGCAGACCCCAGTGGCTTCTGCAGGCAACATACCACTTAGACCCTTGATGCCTGTTAGAATCGCTCTAGGGAGAGAGGCACGCAGGCACCCTGGCCCAGACACACACTCCAAATTTACCACAGGGCAACTCCAGACAAGTCAGTGCACCTACACAGGCACAGCAGGGAGGAAAGACTGAACGAGGTCTCCAGAAATTAGGTTCATCCATCAAAGGCCCCTACAGCACGACGGGTGTCACGCCCAGCGGCTCGGAGAACCACATTTCACCCCTCCACAACAACAAAAGAAATCCCACCCCTCCTGGAGAACTGAGCAGATAATCTGAGATTTTCACTCACCTTTGGAGCGAGTGGAAATGTCCATTCCCTCTTCCACCTCCTGTTCAGTTTTTATTTCCTCCTCAGCCAAGCTGAAATAGAACAAATTAGGTCTGTTTAGGGAGGCTGCTGACGGCCCCCGTGGGGGCAGCTGCTGGGGAGCCAGAGAGCAAACCCGCTTTCCCTCCAGACCCTCGTCGTGTGAGGGGGGGGAAGCACACCTGATTTCAACCAAGTGTGAAGATGATGAACGGACTTCTTTAGAACACTAGAATGCTAAAGATACTTTTTGAAAAAGGCCAAATTAATATTTCAATTGTCATGCCATTCATTAGAAGATGAGGGGGCCCACGTTTTTAGTTTATGAACTCCAACAACCTACCCACTTCTAGCCTAAAGAACCCGGCCTTCAAATTAGCAAGTCTCTCATTGCTGACACTAGGGTGCCACGCAGGCAGGTTAGAGCCTGGGTACCCAGAATCCCTAACTCATGGCCTCCCCATCCTGAACCTAATAGCTCTCCGATGAGGCAGGAACATGAAAACAGACGTACTGGTTAAATTACAAGGTAGAAAAACATGGCCAGACTCCACCACCCTTTTTCTCAGGAATCAGGACCCCGGGGTCTCCAGGCAGCCTGAACCCCAGCAGGCATGGCTTCCTTCTGAACTGTGGCTAATTACACTCCAGCGCAGACAGAGGAATGAGGAAGGATTATTTAAAAGACACAGGCTGAGTGGAGAGCTGGGATAAGAAAGGAAGGAGGCAGGCCCCCTTAGCCAGGAGGGTCTGTTGTCCAGAACCCTCTCTTCTCTGCTGGAACACAGGTTAGACAAGAGCAGGTCCTGTCATCTCTAACCCCTCCCCCCTCCAAGCCCCTAATACTTCAAAAGCCAAACCGAAGGAAATGCAGATTTGCTCTTATAGGTGTGCTAGAACGTTCCAGGCATTTCCGGATGCCACTTCTATGAGAAGCTATGCAATCATGGCTCAGTAAGAAGAAATGGATGCATCACCAACTGATGTGGCTGGAATTTTCCATTGGGAAGACTCGAAGGCCAGACAGGAAGAGAGCAGAGAAGACCATCCTGTCTGTGTTCTGTGCTCTGTGTGAGTGACAAGGCAAAGGACGGCTCCAAAAGGCAGCCTCAGGCCTGGAAGCTCAGGGTAAGATGGAGTCGTGTTTGGGAGAGCTCCAGGTGTGTTGGGAGGGCAGAATTCAAAACAGGAACTAGGCAGAAAGAGAAAAGAAGGCTCGTGACAAGAGCTGAGAGTCCTCAACTTTAACTAGTCCCAAGAGAAAAAAGAGAGGGAGATAGTTTAGGTTTAAATTTAAATATTAACACAACATGCTTTGCACTGTGATATGGAGTCTTGGTAACAATGACATTTAGTCGGCATCTGTAGAGGGACCAACAGCAAAACCACCAAAGAAATACTGACACGTTGTCACAGGTGATCCTCCGCCAAAGAAACCAGCCTGCCAAACCTGAGCACATCACCAAGGCAAAACAATACAGGGGACAGTGGAAGGTACAGTTTCTACTCCAGCTTCCAGGGAAAAGCAAACCCAACTCAGAAACCCTGCCTGGAATGCTGAGTATCTGCCCCAGGTGCGGCTGGAGGGGTAATTCCTGCAGCCAGCAGAGAGATGGGGTAGATGGTTAACTTCAAAAGGACAACCTTAAACCTTGGTCTTTCAAAGCAACTAGAATTCTGCTCCCCTCTCCAGCATGAAGAAGCATTTAAAACAGATCCCACCCATATTCTGAGGGGTGGGAATAGTGTTAGTCTGGGCTCCAACTAAAACGTACGGGGGAGGGGGAGAAATAATTACGACTCACAGAAAGCCCCCACCCCACCCCGCAACAAAACCCCCTTGAAGGATTTCTATCATGATGGGAACATTGAAAGGTGTATTGATCAAGGCAGGAGGCCTGCACTGGAGAGAACAATTATGTGGCTTGTAAGAGCCCAGAAGGGCTGAATACTTCAGGCGGGAGTGCGGCTGAGAAGCTAAGAAAATGCAAAGTAGTTTCTTGGAGTGGCTGTTTGCTGCTGAGTTTAGGATAATCAATTCTGAAACAGAAGTGGGGGGTAAGCTGGCTTATCTTCCCTGGCATTACAAGTGATCGCCATAGTCACCTGACTTTAGCTACAGCATCACCGGTTTTGAGCCTAGGATTTCCAGCACAATTGAAGAAAACCATCCTTTTCACAAAACAGCAAGCCTTCCCTTCAGTCAGTGGCAACCCCCATCTGTGCAAGAACATGCGCGCGCGTGCACACACACATGCACACTTGCACAAGTGCACAACTTGTATTTGACTAAATTGACATGGCAGTGCCTGTGAATTTGAGAGGAAAAACAAACAAACAAAAACACTATTTACAAAAGCATAGACCAAAAAAAACAAAATTAGTCATTTTGAATAAAATACAAAATTAGTCATTTAGAATAGCCACATGCAAGGGACTTCCTTTCACCTACAATCTTCGGTTTCTTATCTTTCCTTTTGTTTTTTTTTTTTTTTCTTGTTCAATGTTAAGCACTAAGGGGATCATATCACAAGAGCTGATGAGAAAAGATTGATACCTTTCTAAATGCCCCCACTGATCCTGGACAATTTAGTTTAAGAGCTGTTGGAGATTGTGGGGTGGAAGTGGGGGGCGGGTAGCCAAATAACAATCTTTAGAGAGAAAACTGCAAAGGGAGAAAATACTTTGAACTTTTGCCATTAACATGTTAAAAGTCCTAGCATGCACAGCCCCCCCTCTTCCTCGGCTGCTAGAACCCAACAACCCTGCTGATCATTTCAATCAACAAAGGAACAAGTCCTGCTTAGAAATTGACAATTCTATTTTTGTAAAGGTCTGATGGGGTGAATGGATGCATAAAGAACAGGGTTACAATAGGCAAACAGAGAAAAAATGTATCAACTAGTTGCATACACTGTATACAGGCGACCATCGGCACTTAGGTTCATATTTACCCAAGTCACTCACTGGTGGATCCACAAACTGCTACGGAAAGAAGATACAGCACCTGCAGACACAATCAACTCCATCTCCTTTTCCCTTTCCAAAGAAAATAAGACTCCCCCATACTCATTCTCTGAGCAAGAAATCCGGTCTTCCTTCTAAACCTACGTGCACCAGGAGGAAAGGAGCAATTAAAAGTTGTATCCGCACTCCTGTCCATCCAGGAAGCCTTAAACCTTCTGATTATTAATTCTGAGGACTCAGGGCTGATCCGTAATTCCCAGGCATCTCACCCCTTCAACACTTCCCAAGGAGAGAGAGAGAAGAAAAAGCCTATCTATTTGACAGGGAGTGGGGGGGGAAGCCTGGATGGATATACAATAGGCAGATCCTCCTTTTCCCAAGTGCCCTTAATACTTTGACTTTTACAACAATCTGTAACCCAGCTAGAACACATAACCAGCATGCACAGGAAGACCTTGCTGCCCCAGTCAGAAGATCACACAGCAATTCAGGAATCATGCATCATTCCCAAGCGCTTCTCCCAGGTTTTACTTTCATTCAAAAAATACCAAAAGGGTCCAGGCTGTAAGAAATACTTAATACCCAAGGCACAGCATCCTCCTCCATGTCACAACAGTCAGCATCAAAATGTAAGGGGGGGGGGGGAACAAAAGCAAAACAAAAGCAGGCATGCCCCTCTGAATCTGCAAATAATTTTCTTTAATTGGGGGAGGGGGAGCGGTTAGCAAAGCGCTTTCTATAATCACTCACCTAAAACGGGCAGTCATCGGAGCTAAGCTATTTATGCAGGATTCTTAAAATGGCGGCTGGCAACAGTGCCTCATTCCTGTATTGGAGCTAAAATGGTAGCAGTTTGTTCAATAGCTGAGCTCATGTTTAAGGAGCCCTGCTAGTTCCAAAGCTGCCTTCATAAACATCAGAACTAGAAAACGCTCCACCAAAGGACACCAACAATCCAGCGTTTGAAGAAGAATAAAAAAAAAAAAAAAGAAAAAGGGAAAAAAAAAACAACAAACTGCAGTCAGTGGCAGGAGTTAGTGAAGTCACAGGTTCCTAAGGAAAAGCCAGCCTTCCCTTTCAGGCGCTCAGCCTTCCTTGGGAGACTGTGCTGGGGCCCCCTTGCCCTGCACTGAGGTGGGTGGAAGGTTAGGAATTACGCAGCCCCCTGGCATAATGTGGAGACAGACAGGTGTCTCCGCGCGCAGATCTGTCCTAGAGAGCAAGCTGCAGGGGAGGAAGCTCGTGCCCTTCCGAGTCCAGAGCAGCACAGCTCGACATCCCTTCTCTCCAGGTAAAACAGCAGGCATAGGAGACGCGGAGCGACAGGGCTGCACTCTGTCTGAGGCCAAGCTGAAAATTCAGAATGATGGTGAGCCTAAAAACTGCCACCAAATACAGCAGCCACCCTGCTAACAGGGATCACCAAAGACAGACCCCTCGGGGCTACAAAGGAGGAACCCTAGTCCACAGAAGACGACTCTCACAAATGAGGCTTCCGTCCACCTCCCCCCACGGGGCCTGGGAGGTAGCAATACATTTTTGCAAAGCCCCCTTCACAGGCCGAACTATTAATAGCGTCATGGTGGCCAATGTCATTGAGTGCTAAGGTCTAAGAGCTACAGGATTCCTCCAACGCTGGGAGCAGGGAGTTTCAAGGTGACAGTTTTTCAGCTCCTAGGGAGAAAGGAGGGCACCATGCCCGTGGCTGAGCCGGGCGAGGCCGGGCCGCTGGCTGGGAGCCGGTCTGCAGGTAGGAGATCCGGGTAGGAAGGGCCGGCCTGGCAGCATGCAGGCTGCAGAGCTGGCAGGGCCTCCCTGTTTGTCTGTAAGGAAAATAGAATCGAGGGGGAGGAGGGCAAGCAGAGCCCAACAACCTGAGGCCAAGGGTGACTCCTGACTTGCTTTTTGCATTTGAAGAAAAACCGTGAAGACTTCTAAACCCCACTACTGCCTTTTACTTCTCAGCCTTGGGGCTGGGCCCCTTGAATGTGTCTTCTCAGGGTCAACCAAAGGCAAAGGAGATCCAGGAACTAGCAACGTGTGCCTCGGCCAGAGGAGCCAGGAGGAGAAAGAAAGCAAACAGAAACAAAAGAGATCACACATTTGACTAAATTGGACTTTCCAAACATACCTTGCCTGTGGGTCACCAGCACCCAGTCTTCTATGACACCACCCCCACATTCAACCTTTTCTTTAAGACCTGATGCACTGGCTCTCTGAAAGAAAGGGGGGAGCTATTGTTTTCACCCCTACTTTATAATCCAAGGGACCTCTTGCTTTCTAATTCAAATCATTTTGAGCGATGATTATAAAAGTCACTAGACTTCTGCAATGTTCTTGGCTCTACAATTAGAAGAAACCCTGAAGAAAGTTTACTGAGTGATTATATGTAATTAATTCCTAGTTAAGAGTCAGCACTGGCCATTTTCTGGAGCTAATAAAAGCAGTTACTCCCCTCCCCCCACGTGAATGCCACTTCATCTCCCGAAGCAGAATGGTGTACCCATCCTGGAAGGTCTTAAAGGGGCGAAGGGAGGGGAGAGAGAGGGGAGGGAGAGAGACAGAGGAAGAGAGAGAGAGAACGCGAGAGAGAAGGAGGGGCAGAGAAGGAAAGATGGGGAGGAGGGGGGAGAGAAAGAAAGAGATCAAAAGCTCCAGTGTCTGTATTTGCTCCCTGCAGCTGTAAATCCTCTTTGGGGACCAAGGAGGCAGAAGGGAAGGGAAAGCAGCCCTTCAGTCTGTTTTCCCTCTGCAATTTGCACAAGTGTTGAACCTTCCACCTTGATGAGAAGCAAGGTGGGGGATGGGGAATCCTAGGGATGGAATGGAGGATCTCTTCAGCTTGGCCACCTGCTTTCCTAAAAGGAACAAAAAAAGTAGAAATTTCCAGAAGCCCTATACTCAGGCCACTGCAATTGTCAATCTTTAACCTATTGGTTTAAGAGTGCAGGGGAAAAAAGGAACCCCATTGGACTAGTCTGTGAGCCAGCACTGAGGTCCCAGAGTCTAACTGCAATGCAGTAATTTTTTTTTTATTCTCCCTTTAGTAACTGGAAAAGAATGCTACTTCGAAAGCAATTAACTTTTTACCAACCCGGGCACGGTGGTGGCCATGAGGAAAATTGGGCAGCTTGAGCCAGGGTTAGGAAATTGGCTGGGGTTCACATTCACAAACAGACCCTGGCTTTCCAAACCTGTGGGAGCCATTTGAATGCAAGCTTTCCGAGGACAATTGCTTTGCCCTCAAGTTTCCTTCCAGCCTGACAAGTTATGCAAATACTGAAAGAGGCAAACCAGGAGGCTTCTGATTAGCCACTGGTTCTGGGGAAGGCCACAAGAACCTCAGGTTGTAATTTCCATTTACAGCACGAGATAAGAGAAAGGGAGTTAGCAGAACTTGTGTGGGCCAGTGGCACCGGTCAGAACATTACACCCCATCTGTCTTTTTGCTTCAGAGACGCTGGCCTGCCTCACACAGACTGCCCAGTTCATAATTTCATCTCGATCTCTTTACTAAATGAACCTTTTCCAACTGATGTCAAAGGGTGAGTTGAGTTGCTTGAACACTGAAAGAGAAAGATTAGTGTGCCTGTGAAGTTGCTCTCAGACCACCACTGCACACTGGGGCTGCACTTCCATGCAGGGTGCATGGATCTCAAAGCTGGAAATAAGTGTCGTGAGCTTCCAGGCAGACCCTGGAGATACATGCTAAGAGAAAAGTCGACTTTTGTCACTTTAAGATTCTAAGTGCACCCTTAGAATTAGGGCGAATGAAAAGTTAGCATGCACAGAGAAGTGGGGAGCAGGCTTTTGAGGGGGGGTGGCTAAAACTGGTGGTCAGTGAGTCCTAAACCAAACCTAGTTTGGGAGGAGAGGATTCTGTACTAGATGTAAACACCGTAAGTTACATATGGCAACACAAAGCACACTCAGGCTCTGGAACCCCTAAGAACAAACAGTTTTGTCCACACCTCACAAGCAGGCCACCTACCCAGAGTTCAGAAGAGCCAGACACAATTCCAGGTCTAGCTGCCAGTCACAAGGAACCAGCAATTCCTCCCCAGCTGAGGGTAAACAGGAAGTGAGACCTGCAGCCCTAACTGCAGATTAGCAGGAACGACAGTGGACTTAAGCCATCACCTCAACTCAAGGCACTCTTTTTAGAAGCCACCTCCCCCACATTACAACAGACCCCAAATGTTCACCGAACTCTTGCTACACGGCCAGAGGAGATGGATTGCTTTACTTACCCAACATACGTTCAAGCAACCGTCCCACTTTTCCAGTTAGGAAGAGAGAACGAGCTGGCAGGTTTGGGACTTGACCAAAAAGGAAAATTTTTTGTAAACAGTTACATGGTATTATTAAAAACGCGCACCACCACCACCACCACCACCACCTCCTCCACTAACACAGCCCAGCAACTGGGTATGAGATGCTGTCATGAGCCTCAGGTATGTCCTCTACACTACACTGTATAACAGAGGCCAGAAGATGATATAATGGTTAAAAAAAAAAAACAAAAAGAGGGTCAAGAAAACAAGGATAAAAGAAACATTAGCCCATGGGAAATCATGCAAGAGTAGAAAGCTAAAGGAGTCAGAGTCCTCCCAGGTTTTTTTTTCCTGCAGGATGTTATTCAAAAATCTCTCCCCCATTCCCACTCCCACCCCACCCCCCAGGCACCAACCCTACTCCCAAAACTCCCTCAGAGGCTAGAAAACACTTTGAGAACCATTTGCTGGCTGTAGGCTGACTTGAAGAACACTCTGTACCAAAGCTAAGTCAGGAAAAAAAAAAAAAGGCTGAACAATGTCGTTGTTAAGTGTGAAGCACAGTGGAGGAAGAGGAGCGTCCACACGCCACCACCCACCTAGGCCCAGGAGCCAGCCTGGCTCCCTGAGCGCAGCTCTTGTTCAGGCCTGGGTACTGTTGCAAACAAACACACATCCTCTCTTGCCAGAACTTAGCCCAGCCTTTCCCAGAACCTCTCTGGAGAAGCAGGCTTGCTAGTTCTGCTATCTGCCACACGCAGTCCTGAGCAGGGCTGGGAGAGGACCTTCGGGCTTACCTTCCATTTTCTTCCCCCAGCAGGCCTGTGACAGAGCAGACAATAGTGCAGGGGTGGGGGTGGGGGGGACTGTTCAGAGAGGGAGAGAGGGAGAGGAAGGGAGAGGGGGGAAAAAAAAAGAAGGGAAAATAAAATAATAGCTACTCTTTTGGCACACCAGGATCTAGCTTCAAAGTATTCCAGAAATTCTATGTCCTGGACAGAGTATAGTGTCCCAGGCCCTCACCAGCCTGTAAAATCAAGCTGTGGCTAATGGCTACTTAGCCATGTGACCCAAGAAAAGAAAAAAAAATCTCTCTAAACAGTCCCAAGTTAGCCTAAGTGCTCTGGGGGGGTGAGTGTGGCCCAGCCAGACTACAGAGAAATCACACTGCTAGTCCACAAGTCGCATGGCTCAGAGGGAGGGGGGAAAAGATGGTTAAAAAGGCGAGCTTACCTCTGTGGATGCATTGTTAACTGTGTAATGTCAATACTTATAAAACATGGAGGACAGGCTCCTAGTTCTCACAGAAAAAGGGTTTGGCACTTCGGCTGATGATCTGGCCGCCTAATAAAAGCTCATCCCCGATTGGCTGCCCCGGCAAATCGGAGTGTAAAGCCGCCGCGGATTGGCTGAAACACTTCCTGAGCGATTATCTTTGTGAGGCTCGGGTGAGCAAGAGCCATCCTGTGCATAGAAAAAGACAGGCCAAGCTAGGCCTTTTGCAGGAAGAAAAACTTGGGAAAGGGGCCCCCGCACGCACTTCTCCCACACCCTGGCGAGATTCCCCGGTCCTGGCAAACCTGCGCAGCCAGCCTGACCTGCTCCAGCGAAGCCTGAGGCCAGGATGCCACTGGGAAGAGCCCTTTTGGGGTGGGCTGGAGGGCTCAGCCACACCTGCCCCCACACAGAAGTCCTTTTCTAAGGAGCCAAGCGGGCCGTTTTCTAGAACAAGCCAGCTTGAGAGGGTCTCAAAGGAGAAAGTCGAGCTGAGGGCTGGAAAGCCCCAGGGAGACAGGAGCAAGAGGGGCAAGGCCAGATGCAGGCCTCTGAGGGGCTGGGGAGGGGAAACAGGCGCCCAAGGGAGGCCCCCAACAAATCAGCAAGGGGCAGCCAGGTTCCTGAAAGCTGAGGAGCCGCTGCTGTGGGGAGGAGTGGTCAAGTTTGCCTAGTCATGGTCAAAGTGCCTGTTGGAGAAAGCAGGCCCACAGAGCCATTTGCAAGGCTGGGAGTCTACAACCTCTCACCACCTCCTGGTGGTCCTCAAAGAAAAACCAAGAGGGTCTCTCTGTCAAGATGGCAAATGGGGGAACCCTCCCCAAGCTTACCCTAAGAAAAGCCAAAGGCGTTGCTAGCAAGCCACATGCCTCCAACTACAGACCTCCCTTCCCAGCTCCCTCCCCCACCGATGAGGCCTGCTAAACCTGTCAGTTAAACAAAAATCTGACTTCCGTATTAGTCTGTGATGCCTTCAGCTTCCTGCCTGTTAACCCTCTCTCGGACTCTGGGCCTCGCTGGGAAAAACTAGGCCCTGAGATTGCAGAAAAGACCTGTGGAAAAATACCAGCTGCAGCTCTCCGGGCAGATGAGAGAGAGAGAGAGAGAGAGAGAGAGAGAGAGAGAGAGAGAGAGAGAGAGAGAGAGAGAGAGAGAGAACTAACTGCTGTCTCGCCTCTGCTTCCCAAGGAGGCGTGGACCTTCTGAATCCAGGGCATGCAGGCAGTGTCTGAGAAGCCATTTAAATCCAGAGGGACAGAGAAAGATGTCAAACCCGGCCAGGAAACAAGAACGTCCATTATAGTCAGGCCTGCACACCCACAGGTTAGCCCTTTCTGCCACAATCGCCCCTGTATGTGTGTTCTGGGGGGGAACTGGGCCCTGTTTGGTGGGCAGACAAATCCCCTGGGCTTCATAAGGGTTCTTGCTTCAATTTATTTCCACAGAGAACTGCTTCTTCTCGTCCCCTAAGGCAGATGGAAAGGCGATTT